GCGGCCGCGATTTCTGATATTATTTTTCTGCGAAAACTTCGTTGACCTTTGGAGACATCATTAATATAAATAATTTTTATGGCCGTTAAATAAGAAATGTTTCTTTCACAAGAAATGTATAAAATTACAGTACTAAACAGACGATAGGTCGCCTAACTCGCCGTAGCGTGACGCTAGACGGCGAAAAATATATATTTAATTATAATAAAGTTACAATAAATTAAGTTAATATATAATTATATATACAGTACCTAATTTATATATAATTAATATATAATTATATGTACAGTACCTAATTTATATATAATTATATGAACAGACGATACTAAACTCAATTTATCCGCCTAAACGTCCGTAGCGTGGCGCTACGGACGGCGGGAAAGTAGTTCGGCTGCCCGATGACGTTTTACGTATTATAGGAGTTATTTTTACCGTTGTTTACGGATACTGCCGCAATTTTTATAGGAATCATAACTATAGGAAACGGTTTTATAGGGGGATCTACTGTACTAATATACTAATTACATGGGATATACTAATATACTATACTAATAATGTATTTTTTCATATTTTTCGGTTATCCGACCAACCCGTCCCCAATTGAGTCGGATAATCGATGCTCTACTGTATCTGAATCCTACTTTTTTTGTTCCTAGAAAATAGTTGGCAAAATTGGCTTCTGTAATATTACTAATATTCCACTGTTATCATCTATCAGGAAATATTTATAACGCCGTTTAATTCATAAGGCAGTACAAAATATTCACAGAATATCATAGAATTAAGTCTAATGCAAAATTTTCGAATTGTTGCATAGTTTCTTCGGCACTTGTGCTGTTTAGTGGGTATGGCTATTTGAGAGGTTTTCTTCCATAAAATTAATCAAATCTAGACTAATTTCACTCGAATATTTCCAAAACACGTATAATTTGTTGGAAATGATCGATATAAAATATGCTCCGAATAAAATATTGTCGGAATACTTATCGAGTGTACCCCGTTCGAAGACGCCATTGCTTAAGCTTGTTTTCGTCGCGGAGCGTCACAAAGGACGACACGAAGCTTGTCACGTGACATTGGTCGGTGCTATTCGGTCATGTGACTACTCATCTCTGACGTGTTTCCTGGTAACATTCTTTTTGCGAAGAATTCGCTAAACTTTAGAGACATCACGTGATAGATCCTAATATACTATAGGATTTTTATTGTAATTAGGAACGACTTATTATTATTATTATTAACTATATGAAGCAACAAAGGAAAAACCTCTCGCTAACGACAATAATTCTATCATGATATATATTATGATGATAAATATTAATCAGATGCAACATAAGATATCTAATGTCTTGAAGTAAATAAATATTATACAATTTTGTTTACGACATGAGAGATTAGGCCATTTAAAAGTACAGCAGAATTATTAGTTATTTATCGCATTATCATAAGTTATTATATGTTGATTTTAATCCATATTTAGCATGGAATGAAGTTTTAATATTCCTATTAATGATGTCTCTAAAGTTCAGCGAATTCTTCGAAAAAAGAATAAGTTACCAGGAAACGCGTCAGAGATGAGCAGTCACATGACCGAACAGCACCGACCAATGTCACGTGACACGCTTCGTACCGTCCGTCGTCCGATGTGACGCTCCGCGACGAAAACAAGTTACAAATTTAATGGAAGAAAACCTCTCAAATAGCAGTACCCACAGTGCCGTTTCTTCTACAAACTTTTATTTTAAATTTATTTTCATCAATTAGTACTATAAAATTGTTAGACAATGACAAGAGACAATGCCACCTTTGGAATATCCAGCTATATTTGAATATCTTATTAAAAGTAAAGTTTACAATTATCAAGAAATGCCTTATACATGAAGATAACAAATCAACCGCCTCATAGCCTTTACTAACATCTACTTCAAGGTCCATTCAGAGACAGAAATATGCCCGTTGATCCCCGAATTCTCGCCTCTTTTCTAAGATAGGGCCGTTTTCGTGCTGGAGCTCTAATCTATGCAGTAAATCGGTGTCCATTACCGATTTCTCAACGCCCGTATCACACAGCAGTGCCACATCCGGCTGCTGCATGGTCCCTCTTATAATCGGGAGTCCCTTCTCAGATATATCCACACCAGCCAGACTTATTCTACAGCTGGGAACAGATTGCTGGCATTCATTCTGTTCCATATTTAGTTTAAATTTGAAGGTTTTCGCTTAGGGCATTTGCTCGCTAGATGATTCGGATCGTTACATATGAAACATCGCCTACTCCCCGATTGCTTTATTCTCTGTCCCGCATGGATATTCTCGGCCAGTTGAGCGACAGATTCGCACAGTGAACTCACTGCGGCTTCCAAACGAGCTAATCTGTCGTTTTTCTCTGCCTCGGCACTAGCGTTTTCCACCTTATCGCCGCACTCATTCTTTGGATTTTGTATAACGGAAATGGTTCTATTGTTTCCGAGGTTCCCACTCTCATTTCCGACTTTTTCTTTACGTTCCGCGATATCGATAGCTTCATTTAAGGTTTTAGGTTCGCCGTGGAGTACGTGCTCACGGAGCTGGGGATGTAGCCCTTTTATGAATCTCTTCATCACGACATTGTCACGGAGCAACGAAACTTGGTTATTTTTAGATACAGCCCTGTTAAACATGGTATAAAGTCTAATAGCATAATCACATACCTTCTCTTCCCTTAATTGTCGAATGCCCAGCAGTTGGTCTAATGCGCTTTTCTCCTGGAATTCAGCCCTGTCGTAGCACTTGATTAAATTATCCTTCACATCGTCGAAAGAATGAGGGTACAAGTCTTGTAAGGAGAAGAATGTAGACAGTGGTCTTCCTTTGAGTTTGGCCTGCAATATCACAATCTTTACTTCCGGATCCCATCGGGCTATGCGGGCAACACTGTCGACTGTTTGGAAAAATTGGCGTATATTCATAGAGTCACTACTAGTATTCGAAAAGGTGGGGATCATCTCGAGGAAACCAGTAATAACTGGGGGAGATACCCTATTAGTTCCATTGAGAGGGGTCTCACGAAGACTATCCGGTTCGCTCATCGTGTTCATTCACAGGGTACAGACAAATAAAACCGTATAACCGTTATACAGAGAACCACCGAGGCCTACAGGTAATTTACACACCAAATCCTGTCGCGGATGCCATTGTAAGATTTAATTTCTCGACACAGAAATTGGTTAACATCAGGATCAATAAGTACAGTACAACAATAGCTTCTCGTAATTTCCTTTTTCGCGACAGTAAAACTTTCCCGACACGCATAGATTACACACAGAACATATACTGTAAATAGATACCGTACGTACAAAAAATGTTAAATATGGGCGAAATCGTCTAGAAGTTCTCTTTCCACTCCTTTCTCGACTTCCCGCTTAAACTTCGATCCTTTTTCTTCCTTGTTGACTTCGTAGTTCGTCCAGTTCACTCTCGAGTCCGTCTCACCAACCAAAATTCCTTTCGTCAGCCTTATCACACCTTTTATACCCTCTGTCTCCCCCTGCTGGGTTAATCGCCCCTTCCGGGTCTAACGGACGATGGAACGTTCGGGTGTGTAATAAACAAAGGGCATTGTCTGATATAGGAAAAACATGGCGAACGATCGTCACAGCTTAATTATAGTAGTCTTGATTCTCATAATTATTTTTCAAGTGGTAAAGTAGACGAAATTTTAATTAATTAATAAATTGTCCGAAAACGCTTAACAAATGTAGAGTCACACTGTAGAAATCACAAACCTATCTGCAAGTAATCATTCTGCATAGACTTTTGTGTCTTTTGATGACAAAGTTATTTATCTAGCTGGATGTATATACAGTACATGCATGGTAGGTTCCCATTCTCTTCTTAAATTTTCAACACGTGGAAATGAATGTAACTGCAACGGTTGAATATACGGACAATCTCGATGCATCATGTTTTCGTGTACAGTACATTGCATACAGCTTCAAACCACTTATAAAGAACACCATGGCCATTATGGCAGCCAACCACTGCACAATATCTACCTTAACTAGTTTTTATCACCAATGGAAAACTAAAAATTGCAGACCTACACTAATAACTGGCAGTATTTTAATGGCTGCCAAGACATAGGTTCAGAATTTGAAAACATTCTGGAAACTTGTGGATAGATCTTTCAGCTAGTGATAAATATTTCTGTTACTTTGAGTATTGTAATTGCTTTGCAGTGAAAGTTTGGCTTCAGTACAGCCAGAGTCAGCTATAAACATTCAAAATTCTTTTAAAGGACTGTTTGTAAATACTATTTTAATTTGGTTCTGAACATTATTTATACATAAATGTTGCTAATATCACAGGATTCTATTAAAAGTCACTTCCATGATTTGAGACTTTTAACTGATTTGATGGTTTGTATTATGCTACAATTTGTGTTCATTTGAAATATTTTTGAGTGTTTTCATAATGAGTAGGAAAATATAGAACTAACTATAATTTTTTTTACTATAAATTGTTAATATGGGATGCCCTCAGTGAATTCTTTGAATCAGAAAAAAATGGGGTTGATGAGAGTTATATAAATTTAATCATGGAAATGTATAGAAATGTTAAAGCATGTGTTGGATAGCTTAAAGTGTTACAAAAAGGGGATTTTTTGAGGGTATAAAGGTTTAATATTAGGCCCATACCTTTTTTTTATTAATATTAGTTGAATTATTGTAGGATGCAGTGACAAAGGAGCTAGCAATTAATGAGATAGAGAGTAATTAAAGTTGAGCTGGAAAAGGTTAGAACAGATTAAGGAAAGGAGAATTAAAAATCAATAGAGACTAGGCTTTTAGAATCAGATAGATACAGTAGTTCTTGAAATTGGATGGGGATGTTAGAGGAAAGAGAAGCAATCAGACTTCAGGCTAAGTTTAAAAAATGGACATTTCAATTTTCATATTTACGGGCAGATAGGGGTTAGAGATTGACAAATAGAAGAAATGTAAGATGGCAAGAACTCATTATTATTAGATATTTAACAGCGATAGCAACAATAGAGTCTGAAAGACAAGTTACTTGATATTTTAATTATATATATTTTCATATGCCAAAATGCAAAAATATATATCATCCCAAACACTGTTTATCATTACTGGATCAAATAAGATTGTGTACTTTATGTAGTATTAAAATTAATAAATTATTTGAAAAAATAAAATTTGCCTTTATCTGAGTTAAATTTCTGTGACTGCTTAAATACATTAGAGAATAAGCTATGGTTTTCCCAATTATATTATCATAGATATTCAAAGAAATATAATATAGAAAAATGCACTTATTTATTAAATAGACACATTGTACAGAAAGAGAAAATTATGTACAAAACTTGCATATACAATATGTAACNAATTATATAACAAATGAAATTTCAATAAATAAATAAATATGTTCTAATTGGCAGGGAGAAGAAGTCTATTAAAGTTCCTTTCTTTACAACGGTCGAAATTACAAATATAACTGATCATCTGAATGTGGAAGTTTGGGTAGGTAGAACCGATTACATACATAACGATGGAGATAGACGTCGCAGTTATTCCATAAAAGCGTCCATATTTCAACCAGCTATCGATGATATAATTGAGGAAAAGTCACTGTGGTGGAGTATTTTCTTCCCATCATCATACTCTAGCCTTAAAGACGTGTTGTCTGAATGGAATAAATTTAATGCAAGACGACCAACATTTAATATAATAGATGACATGATCACTGGTTCTTACAAAACTGAATTAGACCCTTCTGAAACTCTGAAACTTCAATGGAACATAATTACCAAGACAAAAATAATAGATTATAAAATATCTGTCTATTTGATGGGATCTTTGGTTGTTGCTTTGCAAAACGGAGATGATGTTTATCCAATAGAAATTCCTTTAACTAACTTAGCTAATGACGATTTCGAAGCTGTTAAAGTTCCTGGTTTACAGGGGCTGCGGTACATTGCCGAGGGCTATGTAAAACATAAATATGGATTATTTGCTATACCAGATGTTGACAGATTATCAAATAAAGTCAACACTAAATTTTCTACCGGTACCTTAAAAGTTCAGGATATTATTTATCCTTATTAAAAATATACCGGTACAAACGCGTTTACGTTTATGTAGTATAATTAATTATTGTTTATTCGAGGATTTATGTGTGTATATGATTAAATTTAGTTTAAATCAAGATAAAATAGTGTAATATGTGAAATGAAGCAATAAACATGTAGTCTTTCTCAGAAATGTTTATTCAATGACTAATAAAACTATTATAAATGTATGTTACGAAGATATAATCTATCGGTGTATTTATCTCAGAATTATTCATTGTTATACGGATATCTGTAGTAAAATTTACTTTATAATACGTATTTGAAATTAAAAAATAATAATAAACATTACTGAAATGTCAATTATTTGTAATAAGAAAAGATGAAAGATAAGAAAAGATTATTTGTAATAATTCTTTAAATAAATGTTCCAAATTTTTCATGAGTAATGTAATTTTCATTTGAAAATAACTTGATCGAAACAATAAAAATATATGTATTATAAAATAATTTGGTTGAAATAAAATTATTTCAAATATTAACGTATTACAGTAATAATAGATAAGTCCTAGTGTCAACATACATAATATAGAAATATACTTTGTGACGTTAAATATATGAATCGTATTGATTTAATGAAACCAGAGAAATAATCGACAGAGTCACTTTAAAATGGCGAATGAAAGTAGTATTGTTTATTTGTGTATTTATTTTTTAGTACCAAAAAACTTCACTCGTTTAATTTACAAAAAAATAAAAGAAGTTTCTCATTATATCGTAACTTTTAAATGAACAAATTAAAAACAAACAATAAATAATTGCTTTAAAAATATTTAAACGCCTCCAGTTTTCAGTTTATTACTACTCCGGGCGGGTAGAAATATCCCCAAAATTTTTCGGGAGTGGTCTATCCGGATTTATCGGGCTCTTACCAATGGCCTCTCAGTTGAGCGCCTGGGCGGGAAACTATAATGTGCTTGTTAAAAACAGGTCCTTTTAGTGTCCGCGGGTCGGACAGTTTTATATATATATATATACACACACATATGTAAAATCCTTATAAAGAACAATAAAAAAAATTATGACTCTGAATCGATTTCTTTCATCATTTATACTGTATTTTATCAAAAATAACACAAACTATTGAACTATTCAACAAACTATTCAACAAACTATTGAAGTAATATTAAAGGTATAAATTAGAAAATAGTAGTTATTGACGAACGGTTCTTATGAAAATTATATCCAGCGTACAATATATATTTCATTCAATTAACCTATTATTGATACATTAGGTTTTGCATATAACAGGGGTGGCCAACCTGCGGCTCTTTGAAGGATTATTTGTGGCTCTCGATAAATGTTTCCTTTTCATTTTTGTGTTATTATATTTTTAAAAATTATCATCGTTCCGTATGTGTTTCAAAATGTCTTTTAAATTACTAACAACAAATATGAAAGACTAAGTGCAACGTTGTAACAAATTTCATTTCTGTCCAAGTTAAGAATGATATGACCCATCGAAAATTGCGCGAACGAACATAAACAGTGGCGTAATCGTCCGTTATCGACCGACTCCAGACCGATTTTGAATTTGTAAACTCATTGCGACAGACAGTTGACATTGTGCTCTGGAGGAAACAATTTGTATCACTCTTGCTACGGATATAATTTGTAATCTGGAATTTTTTGCATACCTTTTTAATATGTAGAGGAGAAGGTGGTATTACGGAACCCCAATTATATTTTAGTAAATTGTAAACAAGGTATCGTAATTACACCCACATTTTTTGTGCGAAAAGTACTGGTAACTAGTAAACTAAATGTTCCTAATTGGATTTTTCGCTAGTGTAATTATAAGTATGGTTTTTGAAGGCTTTTGTACAAAAAGTCCAAAAACTAGGCTTAGAGAAAATCGGGTGGTAATATGGAACCTTACCAAAAAAATGCTTTAATGTAGCCAAAAACAAATAGGAAAGGACAAAAAATGTTAAATAATTACCAAATTATTTACTCCAATGTATTTTATCGCAAAAATGCTTTTATAATAGAAAAATATGA